ATAATTAATAACATATATTTTAATCTTATATATATATATAAATTTATGATATTTATGTGTGAGATCTTATTACTAAAAAATTGTTTTTTTTTTTTTTTACGATATGTCTCATTAAACAACGGTACATTTATCATCATATTTTATTCTAAAACTTGTTATTCAGATTTTTTTTTGTATTTTAAATTATAATAATTATAATTTAATTAATATATTACTAATTTAAATTCTTTATTGAATGTATATTATTTGTACAAAAAATAAAAAACAGCATGTTATTTTTTTTAAGATTCTCTCAGAGGCAATTTTATTGCATTATATATATAGCATATATGCACATAGTAAGTATTATTAAATTACATAATATTTTATATTCAATTAATTTTATATTTATGTGTGCTATTTCCAAAAAAAAAAACAATAAATAGAATTATATTCAAAATATGATATGAGCATTATATATTTTAATAAAAGAGAAAAATATATTCACATACATTTTTTTTTTTTGCTATACACATATTATATGCGAAATATATTAATAATGCATTTACGCAAGTATTAAAAATTATAAATTAATTTTTCTTTAGGAAAAAAATAAAATTCCTTTACATAAATATGATTCCTTATTATGGCCATACTTTAAATTTTACATTCATTAAAAATGTTCTAGCATATTATTTATCAAATTTCAAATCAAATTCATTACTTTTAAAAAAATAATTATTAAATTTATGTTTAAATAAAATAATTGCAAATTAATCAGTTTTCTTCTTCTATTTATATAGGTATAAATAAGAATAAATATTTATTTAAAAGCAATAATTCACTTTTCTTATAATTCCACTAGAATATCACTTCTATGCGCAATAGTGTGAATGAAAGTATTACCAGAAAAAGAAAAAACATAAATGTGCCCAAATAAAAATACATACGGAGAGAATTGCGTAGATAAATACCAGTATATGTTAATTCAATATTTTTTAATACTGTATTATGAGCATTCTCTATGTTAATAATATTTTGTAACCTATTTTAATATCCTATTTGTTTAAAATATGTTGATTATATACTATAATTCAAGATTTTCTCTTAAATATTAATTATCCATAAGGTATCATAATTTTTACACACGATATTATGTGCTTGAATAACAATAAAACCATCATAATTGCATTACATGGATCATAGATTCCTTAAGTAAATAAAAAATTAATGTCAATTAAGGAATAATTCTTATTTATATAATGTTTTTAATATTTTAATAAATTTTATCCTAAAGGAATTTCCTTTTTATATAATCCTTTTTGTTAGTATTCAAAATTCTTTATTAATGAACCTGCATTCAGTATGTATTTTTAAGGAAATACATGTTATCTATTTTATAATTTCATTCATGAAAGAAACTAATTCCTCATACGAGTAAAGTATATATATATAAAACATAATATAATTTAAAAATGTATTGAAACCATTTTTTTAATATTGTATAAATGTAAAATAGAAAATTTTTGTTTGATATAAATGTTTAATTGATACAATCATGCATAATCATATATAATTAGGCATCAATGTATGAAATTCTTAATAGAAAAAAATAAAAATAATTAATATGAATTTTATAAAAACATTCGTTTATTTTATGAAAAATATACAATGATTACTATAAGATTTGCAAATATTTCTAATTTTCTGTATTACTTTTAATGTGTGCTACATCTTTATTTTATTCCTCCAATATTTATGTTCAAATTCTGTTTTCTATATGATGTATTGTCAGAATAATCGTATGAAAATAATGGTCAATATTATTTTATTCAATTTTGTCATTTATATTTGAAATCATACAAGAGCATTCAAAAGAGAAATAGCATTATTATTAAATACTGTACGTAATTAAACATTAATTTTAGTTGTATAATTAATGTGATTAATAATTTTTGAACCATTATAATCTTATATAAGAAAAACATTAGACATAATAAAAAATATATATTCAAGAAAATAACATATAATCTTGTAAGTATATAAATATTTATTATAATTATAAAGTATTATAACATAAGCCAGTATATTCTGAGGATTTATTTCATATTGTTGTGTTCAAAAATATTATGTTACCAATATATAAAGAAAGTAACATTTTTATTTTACACAAACTATTATATCTATGACATAATTAACATTTCTATAATACTTATAGTGATCTATAGTATTACATATACATTGTTACATTTATTAAAATTACTTCAATTTATACTGACACTTATTCAATATCAGTACTATATTTTTCTAAATGTTTTTCATAAGAACGGAAAACATGTTTCCAGTTTGAATTCCATTTTATAAATCATTGTATTATTATTCTTGATGATATAATATAGAAGTTTCAAAAAAGTACTATACGTAGAAAATAAGAAGAAAAATGAAGATGCAAACACAAGTAAATTGTTTAAAATATTCTTAACTAGAAATTAAAAATGAACCTTATAATTAAAACTATATCATATAAATTATTATTTTTTATTAATTCAATTTAGGAATTTTATACGTAGTCAGATGAAAAATGAAAAAGAAAATAGACAAAAACTCCTAGATTAATATGCATATATTTGCATTTGCTAACAAAGTTTTCAAAAAAATAATTATTATAAAAATATAAGAGTGACCTATACATAATCATTAAAAACATTTATTTAGGTTAGTTTAAAATAATTCCTTATTTAAATGAAATGTATTTATAAATAGAAATAATGGGAATAATATTTTTTATTATTTTATAATAGAAACATTAAACATAAAATGTTTGTCTGACTTTTTAAGCTAATAACATTTAACATTATGTACTATGCATGTTTTTTTTTCCTGGCATTATTTATATTGTAAAATAATTTTTCTATTAATTTTATACTAAAGTATACTTTTTTGCTTATATAGAATAGATGTTAGAAGTACATTTGTGCAATAGAACAAAGTTATATTATATATATAATGTTCTATAAAATAATAATTTCTACCTATAATATGATGCGTGATAAAGAACAAGAAACTTTAATATGCTTTTTTATCTCTATATATTAATTATTCATTATAAGTACTTATATATTATATTCGCATATGCACAATAATTGATAGTTTCCAAAAATTAATAATGCACCAAAGTAAATAATAGGGGATTTATTCTTTTTACTATGGTACATTACAAATAGATATATAGTATTCAGTTAAATTTAAAAATATAAGGATTTTATATAGTAGATATAATATTAATATAACATTAGGTTAACATTCTTTTATTCCAGAAATAAATATCCAACTTCATGCTTACACAAAAAGTATAATTATAGAAGAGATATGATATATATACATTCTCAAAATTCAAAATGTTTAATTTTCAAATAACCCTTATAAAATCTCATTGTAATAGCATTACAAATATAATTGTATTTTAAAATTCCTTTGATAATATAATCAATATAATTTTTATATAATATTATAACATCTTACACTATTATTTAGTATTTTAATATATATTTAAATAGCTCACCAATGCTACGTATTTTATATTTAAGAATATATATAATATATTATTTTATAAAACGTAATGAAAATATATATATCATGAATATTTTAGTAAAATCCCTTAAAAACAAAAAATAAAAAAAAATTATATATGTAAATATTAGGCAAATACAGCAATCTGCATACGTATATGAATCAGGATCTACAGTTTTTATATTAATGTATCCCATTATAATATAATTAATGTTCATGAGATTCAATTAATATTTTCATATACTATTTTATTAAAAAAATAGGCGATAACATTAACATGAATATAAAAGACTACACACACTATATGTTAAATGTAAAGTGTTGTTATATAATGTGAATTCGTTTTTTAATCATATATATAAATGTATGCTATCAAATATGATAGGTAAAATTTTTTTTAATTTGCTTTCTGTAAAAAACATAGAAATACTTACATTATATATTTTAATATTTATTAACATTACTATTGTATGCTATGCCTAATATTTACAGAGAAGGAATCTACACATTATAAATGGAAAATAACAACAAAATTATAGTTAAAAAATAATTCAATTATTTGCTGTATAATATTTTTTTAATAATAGTAAATTTATGAACATTGACATGTTCACATTAATTCAAAATGCATACATTATTTGCTTATAAAGCATAGTACTAAAGACAAATAATATTATAATAAATAAAACGAATTTCTAGCAGTTATATTAAATAAAGATCATCTTACATAATTAATTATTATAATTATAAATATAGATAGTCTATAACATACTTTGTACAAATAATATAAATTGATTAAAAATTATAATGCATATCAGACATTATAAATCACAGTTATCATATATTTAATTTTTTATGAGTTAAATTAATAAACATTAATCTGGTTAATAATGTATAGAAATATATGTGTTTTTTTTGTATTAAAAATTTAATATAATGCATTAATTATATTCAAAAATAAAAAATTGTTGATAGCAAATTAATAAATGTCTTTTAAACAAAATTAAGAAAAATGGACACACGAATGTAATTTAAAGTTATTAAACATAAAAATACTATATACTAACAAATACGATGCGTTCTAATATATATTTATTATTTAAAATATAATGCTTTTATTCGGAATAAAGGACATATATTATTTATGTTATTATAACACTTTAATTTAGATGTAATTATTAATAAAACAAAGAAATATATTATTTTTTATAAATTACAATTTTAAATATTTGCACACATTAACATATTTAACACGCAAATGTAAGGATGATACTTTCACTTGTCTATAATGTGTTAGACAAATGTTATTTTTTTATATATTTTTTAAATGATTTTTTAGGCAATATATATGGTATAATTCATCTAATTACAAGAATAATAATAAATTTAGCAAGATATACAATTACAGAAAAAATTTTAATATAATTTTTGCAAAAATAATAATATTCACTTTATTTTATTTTTCTCATTGTGATTTTTAACCTTTTATATTTTACAGCTTTTATAATAATATAAATAACTATTGCTAAATAAATAACGAGTACCGCAATGCATGGTATAGCATATAAAGGGTCAACACGACCCATTGTTTCCTGACCTCCAGCACTTCCTGGATTGGGTCCAAAAAATATATAATTTATTGCTCCAACTATAAGAATAACAGGGGCTAAAAAACTACATATGCATTTCATTCTATATAATCTTTTTTTTGAATTTTGAATCGTAATATTATCATGTTCTTGATGCTTATATAATTTTTCAAGTTGGATAAATATTTTTTTTTCAAAGTAATAATCAATCTCTTTTAATATTTTATATTTTGTTTTTGTTTCATTCAAGCATTTGTTATCACAAAGAAGGCTACTTTTTGCATATTTCTCTACTTCCTTACTTGTTGATATATTTTTTGAGTTGTTCTTTAACATTATATCTTCCCTATTACATGATAAAGTTGCTTCTAAGTTTTTGTTATGACAAGAAATGTTGTTTACTCTACATCGTTCATCTTTTTTATTTAATGGTATATCTACTGCCTCATTTTTTAATTCTGCATTGTCCTTATTATAATATAGGAATCCTTTTAATCCTTTGTCATTATGAGGAATGTTATTCTTTCTACATCCTTCAACTTTTTTATTTAATTCTATATTTCGTGCCTCATTTTTTAATATCATATTTCCATTATGATCAGATAGAGGTGCTTTTGATTTTTTGTTGCTAAAAGTATTTCCATTTATTCTACATCCTTCAATCTTTCTATTCATTGTTATATTATCTGATTTATTTTTTAATATAACATTTTCCTTTTGAAATGAAAGAGGTCCTGTTAAGTCTTTATTTTCCCGTTTTTTGGGGAATTCATTTTTTGCTAATGAGCGCTCATTTCCTATATCAGACGTTTTGTTATTATTGTATGTATTATCTAAATATGTTCCCAGTACTCTCTGCATAAATAAAATATAATATATTTTTTTTAATACAATAGTTAGCTTCAGATAAAATATATATAGATTTTAAATATATTTCATGTTATAAATAATTATCCAAATGTTATTACATATTATTTAGTACCTCTTTGTTAAAATATGGATATATCCATGCTAGTAGTATAACTATTAGAATTCTTGTAAAAATTACCTTCTTATTATTTCTTTCCATGTTAAAAGTATTTAATAGTACGATGACAAATAATTCTTTAAAAAACTAATTTTCTATACAAGGGTAAAGGAAGATAATTGCAACATAATTTATGTGTGTATTTCATGCCTAATATTATATTCAAAAGTAATTCAAATGATATCAATATTCATAAATTTGTATATACACTTTAAAATATAACTGTAGTATTCATTATGTAAATTTTAATACATATTAATTTTAATTAAGATATTTTTAAAATGATTCACTAATCTACTTTCTCATTCTATAATTGTTTTCAAACAAAAAATAAAACTAGAATTGCTAATTATATATTAACATATATATGCAAAAAATATTATGTAACATTATATATATTTTTTAAACCATATATTGATAATTTTTTACAGTATAATGGCAAACAATTCTAATATATGTTTACTTATATAAATGCGCATATTTCATTCATAATAACATCATCTTATTAGACTTCTTTATAAATATTAACCATTAAAAGTCACAATATTTATTGTAGTTAATTAGAAAAAAGATGGACGAAAATAATCATAAATACAACTAAATATATATAATTGAATTAATTATATATTTCACATTTATAAATTACAAAAATTAGAAAATTATAACTGTTTATATATATAATTTTACTATAGATTAATGATCTATGTATTTATGAACATTTAAAAAAGTAGACAACACTTTTCATGTGTCTAATTTTATGAAATAAATTAAAATAACAAAAACGAATTGTTTAATAAATATATGATAAAATTTTAAGGGTAAAGATCCATAAAAAATTTGGATAATATTCTTACATTTAAAACATTTTACGATAATACTTCATGATTTAAGGCTCTTCCTTTAATGCTAATTGTTTTTATCTTAGTTTTAGCTTCTATCATAGGAATCTCATGATCTATTCTTGAGATTTATGTTTCAGATTTTTTTTCCTTTTTTTTGTATCCGTTTTTATTTTTTGAAATATTTTTTTATTATAGCGTTGGATTTTTAGATTTTATTTTGTGCTTCCTTCATTAGATATTTTAAATTTTGGGGATCTATGTAATTATTGTTTATATTGGGGTTAAAGATTAGGACACGTTCTATAAGATTGTTTTTAATTTCATTTTACAACTAATATAATACAAGTAAAAAGGAATAACATAATTGTTATGCAGAATATTTATATTTTTCTATTTTATATAAGAATTATT